TCTGTTTTTGAGACAGAGTCTCTCTCTGTCATCCAGGCTGGGGTGCAGTGGCGCCATCTCAGCTCACTGCAGACTCTGCCTCCCGGGTTCAAGTGATTCTCCTGCCTTAACCTCCTAAGTAGCTGGAATTGCAGGTGTGCAACACCACACCCGAATAATTTTTGTATTTTTGTAGCGATGGCATTTCACCATGTTGGCCAGGCTAATCTCAAACTCCTGACCTCGTCTAGCTAATTTTTCTGTTTCTGTAGAGATGAGGTTTCACCATGTTGACCAGGCTGGTCTCAAATTCCTGACCTCAAGTGATCCACCGGCCTCAGCCTCCCAAAGTGCTGGGATTATGAGCATGAACAACCGTGCCCAGCCTATTTTCAGGTTTTTGTCCCTAACTTCCCTCTTTCTCTTCATATAAGGAGCAAATGGCTTCCACTATTTCATTCTCAAACCCAATTGAGATAGAAATCTTCTAAATAGAATGTAAGCCCTGCATAGAAGCCAAAGTATTTAAAGCAAATCCAAAGAAAGGTTTCTTTCTTTTTGACATACACATTGAGCAGATCCCCACACATATGTTATTTTCTTCCTAAGCAGGCCTTTTTTACAGTGGCTACTATGTATCCTCTGTGCTATGGTGATCATATCAAAAAGCATCATGTCTAAATGTTAGCCGTCCCTTACCTCCCGTCTTGGGAAGCTCGATATTCTTTTTTTCTGAAAAGATTTTGAGCATTTCCTTCTTAATGAGAGAATACATATTTTCAATTCTATACAATTTTAGAAATTGAATGACAGAAACTGTTAGACAAATTTTTATGGATATTAGTCATGCAGTCATATATTTGAAGCCAGTGAAAAAAAAAGTGATACATTATTGAGTGAGGCACTATTTGGGTGGCAAAAAATCAATATATTGGTTTGTTCTATGATCTATATACACTCACTGCTTTGCTGCCAGTCTGTCACCAACAGAGTTTTAATTCTCAATTACTCAGTTTTCAAATACTCTGGTTATAACCACCTTAATCCTTAGCTTTATGAACTCTAAGTATGTGTGTAAAATTATAAATTTCCCTAAGCAAGACAATTCATAAGTGGAGGCTTATTATTATGCCAGTGATATATTCTTTGGTATACTTTCCTGTTCAACAACATGTAAATGACTTGCACAAAGTGTAATTTGAACATTTAAGTAGTATCTATAAGACTTAGGACTGTTACAACTTTTGTAAATTTTATTTGCTAAAATATAACAGATGAAAATTAGCATGTTGTGCAGAATTGTGGAACATTTATGTAACTCTCAAACATAAGGAGTAAAATTCTGAGGAGGAAGGGATATTTTCATTGAAAATTTCCCCCAAGCTGGAACAAGTTGAAACCCAGCAAAACCATTTTTTTTTTTTCTTTGAGATGGAGTCTCACTCTGTCACCAGGCTGGACTACAGTGGTCCAATCTTGGCTCACTGCAACCTCTGTCTCCCCAGTTCAAGCGATTCTCCTGCCTCAGCCTCCTGAGTAGCTGGGACTACAGGTGTGCACCATCTGTATTTTTAGTAGAGGAGGGGTTTCACCATGTTGACCAGGATGGTCTCCATCTACTGACATCGTGATCCGCCCACCTCAGCCCCCCAAAGTGCTGGGATTGCAGGCGTAAGCCACCACCCCAGCCAAAAAAACTTTTTTTAAAACCACAAATGCCATTCTCCTCATGCTATTTCTTTTTCTTTCTCTATTCTGCTTTACTTTTAAACTGCAACCTGAGGAATGAAGATACGTAAACATACACATACACACTCCTCTCTCTCTCTGTCTCTCTCTCATGTGTAGTCCTCATGCAGATAACATAATCAAAAATCCTCTCCTGGCATTGCCGCCCCTGCTGTTGTGGAAATACTTTGTCTTCATGTGTTCTTTCTTTTTTATTATATTTATTATATAGAAAGTTCTCTCTCCCAACTTGATGACATTTTACTTCTTTATGTTTTCTTTGCATATTTCAAGCTCTTAAAGGGTTTTCGGTAGCAGGTCCTCAAGATGTAGGCCTCCAGAATGAACACAGTTTGCACAAGATTTCTAAGTTTCGTCTTGTGTTCTTTGGGACTAAATAACTGCAACCACTGCTTCAATTATGTTAAAGATTAAGCCATTGCATGCCTTCAGATAACGCCACATTTTTGTAGATATTTTAGGATAGAAACACCTTATATTTAAATTTATAAATAAAGTATTTCTACTTAGGTAAAAGAGTTGTATATCCCATGATTTTTCATGGATCCTCACCTTCCAGCATCAAAAGTTTTCATGTGCAGAATTGTCTCACCTACGTCAGTCTGATCCTAACCTCACCATTGCCCTAGTGCCTTGTTGATGTTGATGAGCTAGACAAAATAATTTCAAGTATGTTAACCCAAGTCTTTAAAGAATACTGCCAGTCATTTTACAGCTTATGGAAATCTATTCTTAATAGGCCTTTTCCCCTACTAACTTATGATACTTTTCCCTCATGAACTTAATAAAAGTTTGAATAAAGTACCCAGATAAAGGTCTGGCAGATACATTGAGTGGCTTTGAAATAGTCCTTTTTTTTTCAATATTAACATACCAGGGCACCATCAACGTGCTAAAATGGCCAAGCATCCCCTTTGAACTCCATCTCCAGTTGCCATCAAAGATTATCTGTGTTCACATCAGTTGTCCTTTTATTTCCTTCAGATTCTCTCTGTAGCCATTAAGAAAGGATTGTAATAAAAGGTATTTAAGAGCTACGTAGATGACATGTCAGAGCCTGAAGAAAGTTGTCTACTGACTTAACCATTCATCCTGCTTTATTGCGCAGAGGTTAGAAAAGGAGAGCAAGATGAAACCCAGCAAAAGATAACACGGCTGCTTTTCCCTCTTCTTGTAATGAGCATGCAAATACTACTTCTCCATACCTCTCGCTGTTAGGTTAGCTCTTACATCAGAGGAAAATCTCATCCATGTTGAGTTGGAAGTTTCACACTTTGATTTTTCTGAATTTTATCAAATTCTTATATAAAAGTAATTGCTTTAAATGTTTAAGGCGATAACAAGATATAAAATGAAATAAAAGAAATAATTTGCCATTTCTTGTCACTCTAGCAGATAGATTCACTACCCCAAGCTGGTCTGCTTTGAGAGGCCAGTATTGCTACTGCTTTGTCGTTGAAATGGACAAACCTACAGAATGACTGCTGTCTTCTTCTAGTGCCCACTTTCTATTCAGTGCAGCAAGCCAGGCTCAAATAATGAACTAGGAGCAATGTGACGGGGCTTGTTCACTTCCTTTTTTTTTTAATTTAAAGGAGATGTATTGGGTTTATTGATAGGCTGTTCACAGGTGCAAAATCATCTTTGAATAGTTAAGAAGTGGCTTTGGTTAAAAGGACAGGAAGCGTTCCACACTGAGTGTACTTGTTATAAAGTTAAAATTAAGTGACATTTCATTGAAAATGACCTTTAATAGGATGTCATTTGTCTCTGAGCTTTAGCCTTGACTTAAACTAAGCTGTATCGTCATTGAGGAAAAAAAGACAAGCATTTTAGCTTCTTTTGGGAAATAAATAATGAAATTTTTGAAATTATTTGTGACAACAGCATCTCTACTCACTTTTCTATTTTTATGTCGCAAGGATACAAAGTAAGCATATATTTTCTTGGAGTAAAATATTCAGAACTAAGGACTTACGTTCAGAAATATGGTTTTATTTTTTATATTTATACACACACATATCTATACATGCACATATATGTATATATATAAAATATCTGCAAGTATGTTTAGTGTGTGTCATTTATACTGTCTTTTAAGTAATCATTAATAAATACACTAATAAGCTAAACATCTTCATGTTCTCACACTAAAATTATACAGAAATTGTTTTATTTTACAGTGATTTTTCCCAGAACTGGGAAAAATATGTGTATATTTTTTCTAAAAGCATAGCATCTTTCATTTCTACCTTTATTATACTCATTGTTTTCACAAAAGACAAAGCCTTTGTGTAATCAGAGATCAGAATCATTATTTTAATTTTTAATAGTTTTAAAATGGTAAGAGTAATAGAACAGGAAGTTTGACATATAGAAAAAAGACATTTTATTAATAAATTTTTATGATAATTACAGGTATTTTATGATGCATTTTACTTGGAATAAAGTACAAATCCCATACTACTTTGCATCCTGCTTTGATCATTTAACTTTCACTGTTGTAATTTGTCCAAGTTGCTACATAGTCTTCCTAAGGATCATTCTTAATGGTTGACTGGTATTCCTTTGAGCATGCAAGCCATAATTTCTAAATAATGTGTAATTAATTTTGAATTACACATTATCCTGTTATTCATTAGATTCAATTCAAAGCAAATTTAACTATCATGATTGCTCTAAGATCTAGATTTGCCTACAGCTCATGTTAATGTGTCTAATAAACCATAGCAGTTTCTCTCTTTTATCGATTCTCTCATTTGTTACATGCAACAATAGTACGCAATTTGTATGTATGTAACAAATTATATAGGCGTTTATCACATTAATAATTATGCATAAAAAGTGAGGGCATTTGATTGTTGAAAATTATTAAGCAGCACCTGTAGTATGCTAACTATAAAATATGCTACCTTGATCTTTATCCTTCTTCCAACCTGCTCAATCAAAATTAATTCATCTCTTCCCCTTCCTTCCTACAGCAACATGTTAGAATCAGTCTTGGAGAGCTTATCCACCTTTTCTGCAGTTACATTCTCTTGTGTGCATCCTCCAATCCACCCTCCACCCTCGATCCCAAGCTCTCGGTGGGCAGGAATGGCTTCTTACTTTTAGTGATCCCTGGACTGCTGATGCAGTAGCCTCCATGTAGTCTGTATTCGCCAACTGTGATAACGCTCTGTTTTTGTTTTTGCCTGCAATGTTTGAGGAAGGCAATGTTGGGAAGCATAAAGTTGTTAAAGATGTTTGCTCTCTTGTTTTTCTTCCACCAGTGGGATGGAGTAGGACCTCTTCCAGACTGTGCCGAACCACCAAAAGGGATCCAGATGCTGTGGCACCCATCAATAGTCAAACCCTACCTCACACTGCTCTCTGAGTGCTCAAATCCAGACACGCTGGAAGGGGCGGCAGGCGCCCTGCAGAACTTGGCTGCAGGGAGCTGGAAGGTATGGCCAGTTCATTACAATAAAAAGAAATCTGGAATTATGAGCAACTCCTCAGAAAACAATACAAGTCCAGTTTTGAGAAATGCAATTCTAATAAAGATTTTTAGGACATTAGAGGAAAACCATTTATATTGAACTGTTTTACTTGGAAATGCATTCCTTTTAAAAATTTGTCTTAAAGGCTCAGGGGTCCTTGAAGATCACTACAAACAGAGAGGAACAGATGTGATTATAGTCACTGAAAATGCTGTGAAGTGTTTTTCATTCTATTCATGTAGCTGAGCTACTTTGTTTTCAGTGGAGATTGTGACAGGTTGACATTTTCTCAAAGCACTATCATTAACTGGTAAGAGAGTTAATGCCCAAACACCTGTGTGTAAAACCCCATGTGAACACTTAAAATGTGCTGGGTCCCAGTCCCAAAAGGAAAGAAAAGAAACCTTTGTGTTTTTAAAGCATGGGCTTACAGAGAATAGTGTTGTTAGTTGACTTTGGCAAAAGTGTTAAAGCAAATGTATGATTGGAGAGGAGATTAGAACAGCCTTTTTCTGAGTCCTTATCAACTGACACTGTTCCTGATTGGTTTTCATGACACTCATTTTGGGCAGAAAGAGACTCACCCTAGGAAGCAATTCCTGAGTCTAGTTACCAGTGTGCTAACTTGCTTTGTCACTAAAAAAGTGTGACCTCTTAGAAGAATGAGGGCGGGTGGGGAGAATACCAAGAGAGAAAGCTTACACTTCTGCCATCCATGTTCCATACATTTCACATCAAATCCTGGGATGTGGGATAATCATCAATCACTCCTTTCCTTGACATTTATTTTCTTCTAAACGATGTTAACATGTACACATAACTACAGATAATGTTCAGAAGCTCAAGGCCATAGGTGTCACACACACCACACACCCTAGCCTCAGCATTATGTAACTACACCCTCCCCTTTGCTTGTTCCTTTGGATGTCTGCCTTCTTGTCATTCTCTCTGTGTCATCCTTTGTTTCCATTGCTACGGTCCAAGCTACAGAACTTCCTTCTTTCTTGGGTGTGCCATCCCAGCTCATGGGCCCCAGCCCATGACAGTTCCTCCCACAGAGCTGGCCATTGCCTCATGGCCAGACTCACTTCTTCTTAGGGATGGACATAATTAGCCCTTTTCTATACATTGCCCATAGACCGCCCTAAAGCTGTACCCATCTCTTGCTTGCAACCAGAGATTGGTGAAGAAAAGCTTCAAAAGCAGAGTTGCACCAGGTCAACATCCAGAGCATAGTCTTACAGGAGCATGAAAGAGATACAGATGGAAATCACTTCCTGGAACGAGGCCTTAGGTCTTATGCTTCTCTAAGTTTAGCGTGATCCAGGAAGCTTTGACTAAAATCACAGTTCAAACTAAGGCTCTACCTTTTCTGAGCACAGTGAGCCTGGGAAAATTACAGCACATCACTGTGTCTCAGATGTGTCACCTGCAAACAGGGAAAATCAGGGCTGCTTCACTCTATATCATGCACATCAGTCACAACATTGGATGCAAGGATGACAGCAAGATGTCATAGGCCAAGACACCGTTTGTGCCAGTGAGCACTCACACGCTCAAGAGCAACACGATCCTACCCAGCTCCCCTGCCTTGCATCATTAACTAGACAGGTGCACGGAAATAGGCTCTGGGCTTCAGGCATCAGCCTGACTAAGACACAAATATCTAGATGGTGGCAAATCTGGTGTGCCATCTTAACATGTTGTTTATCTCTGTCTCTTTCTCTTCTTTCTCTCTTTCTTCCTTTATTTATTTTTTAATTTATTATCAATTATCATTTTCCTTGAGAAGTACTTATGTCATTATCATGTAATCGTAACAACTTAAAAGTGGAGAAATGTCTTTGGGCTCTAGAAGATTTTGAATGTGAGACTTCAACCTTTAAACTCTATATTCTATATGTTCACAAAGTAGAAATAGGAAAAATATATAAAAGAACAAACTCAACCTTCTAGAATTAAAATATAATGCCTGAACAAAAACTATGTGGAATGGAAATATCAGCAGATTAAAGACTACAGAATAAAAGATTCGTGAACTTCAAGACAGCGATAGGAATGATCCAAAATGAAACACAAAGAAAAAAAGAAGAAAAAATGTGCAGTGCATCAGTGAGCTTCAAGTAGCCTCATATGTGTGTAAATGGAGTCCCCAGATGAGAGGAGAAAGGGCAGAAAAAAATTTAAAGAAATAATGGTTGAAAATTTTCTAAATTTAATGAAAACCACAAACTCACAGATCTAAGCAGCTCAAGGAACCCCAAGCACAGAAAACATGAAGAAACGATACCAAGGTATATTTTCATCAAATTGCTCAAAATTAGTAATGAAGAAAAAATTCCTAAAAGCAGACAGATAAAAAAGACATGTTAAAGTACAAAGAACTGCACCACATCTAAACATCAAATTTAAGAATCGGTGACACTAGTTATTCATTCATACAACGAGTCCTTCTGAGCTGCTAAGACTGTCCTCTGGAAGAAAATTTGGTCTGTGCACCCCTGTGTCCAGAAGCCAAGCCCCGTTTATCTTCTTGTACCTCACTTCCCACCCCTGTGCTTGGCTGAGTGAAAAAAATCAATCGTTGAGCATTTATCAACTACTATGTCCACATGTCTTCCTTGAGCAGTGCAGTGTTTTCTATTTATTAATGTCTACTGGTCAATAAGAATTTAGTAGCACATATTAATTACCAGGCCATCCTCAGATGGTCACATTTTATGATTTTTATTTGGTTCTTTGGTTCAGATGGCAATATACCGTCAATACAATGTAAAATTGATCGAAAGAAGTTATGAGAGAACGATTTTCTTTTCAATGCCCAGACTGAACAGTGTATTGCAGGCTGCAGAGTTCAGCAGCAAGCGCCCAGTTCTGCAGTTTCTACCGTGCTGAGTTTTCTGTGTAAGTTTCCAGATCTTACACAGATCAGTTGCAAGAACTGCTTAGATATGTGTGGGTCTTTAGGTGTGTAGAGTAAGAAAATGATAAGTTTAGAAAGGGTTTACTACCTCTATATTTTAAGGTCTCGTCTACTTTACATAATGGGAATTATGGAGGAAGTATGATCATCGCTCTTAGTATTTTCTGGCGATAGCATGTTACTGACTGTTTCTACCACAATAAATCTGTGCATTAGTTCAGTACAGTTGTCCCACATATCCAGAAGGCATTTCTTTGGTAAATGTCTCTACTGCTAAGAGAGTAGAGACTACTAAGAGAAAGACAGAAGGGTCTAGAATAGCCAAAGTCAGCATCACAAAAGCTGTTCTGTTTTAGACAAAGCTTAACTACAACCTTCAATTTCCCAGTCCATATTGGACTTCAATCAACAAGTTAAAAAATGCAAGAACTCTTGTAAGCAGACACATAGACCATCTTAAGAAGGGAGAGTAGATACTGTGCTGGCAAACAGAAAAGACAGAAGAGTTAGGAAAATGGAATAAAAAAATGCAAGAATGGGCTGGGCGCGGTGGCACATGCCTATAATCCCAGCACTTTGTGAGGCTGAGGCAGGCGAATCATTTGAGGTCAGTGGTTCGAAGACCAGCCTGGCCAACATGGTGAAACCCCATCTCTACTAAAAATTCAAAAAAACTAGCCAGGTATGGTGGCGTGCACCTGTAATCCCAGCTACTAGGAGGCTGAGGCAGGAGAATCGCTTGGACCCAGGAGGCGGAGGTTGCACTGAGCCAAGATCATGCCACTGCACTCCAGCCTGGGTGACTGAGCAAGACTCCATCTTAAAAAAAAAGCAAGAAAGAAAAACTGTTAGAGACCATTCAATGTCATGGCTGTTCCATCTATTCTGAGAGTCATAAGACTGGCCTTCTGTCATTAAGAAAATGTTATTACTAGTAATTTTAGAAGACAGATAGCATTTGAGAAAGATTTCCATCCCAATGGTTAAAGTAGAATTTTGACTCTTAGGATGCCAGTCCTGATTATCAGAAGCACTACTTCCCTAATAATTCTGGATAATGGGATAGTTCTCAGGTATGACAAGGGGCTGCTAAGGAATATTTGGGAGTAGTTATAAATGTATTCAGATATACATAAGAAATTTCTTATCACAATACAAATACACGTATAGGGATCAGTGATATTATCATCATCTACTGTATAATTTACTGATTTGCCATATTTCATGGGAAGAGTGAGTAGACAGTTCTTAGGAAAGATTTGAAAAGATTATCATTAAGCCAAGCAAAGATAAATTATTATAATTTAAAGAAGACAAAGGATGACTTGTCCAGAAACCAAACAGATAAATCCGTACTTTAAAAAAGATGATTTCAGAAAAAAATCTTGAATTACTAAAAGATTGAATTAGGATACACAGCAGCATACAGTGTTACCATCTGAAATCTAGAATTCTAAAAATGTATTTTTATATCACCTGTTAAAATTTAGTGGTAGTTCTTTCGTGTTCTTAACTTTTTATGACCCAAGAAAAACAGAAATGTAGAGGTAAAATACTAGAATTTTGCATGGAGACAGCTTTTTATAGACCTCATTATCTACAACAATAATTTCTCTTTATAGGAAGATCATGCACACTCTTTTTCTGTGACAAATTGTCTAACAAATGAGATCTTCATAATGGCCCTAAACACTTTTTAAACTTTAAAACACTCATTACTTGGTTTATGAGCATCAGAAAAACATAATGTTTTTATGGCAGAAGCAAAGTGATAAATGTTTTTCTTTGCCAACATGGACTTCAGTTACCTTTTTCTCATTTATGGTACAATGATTTTGTTTGTTGCAGAATATTAAAACAATTGGGTGTAGTGCTTTCAAGATTTCCAAAATGTGAATGATTGTTCTTTTAACTCCCATTTATGGATTATGTCTGTTGTGCTTGAGCTTTATGGAAGCCCAGGATTTGAACTGTAGAAATATATCTGTACTTGCTATGAAGTCAAACATTTTAAATTCTTTGTACAGTCAGTTTTCCTCCT